TTTTTAACCCCCGGGTCTTTTTCTCCTCCCTTTTCCTCTCCCCCCCCCCCCCCCTCATTCATGTTCATTTGCATAATAAGTTAGAACTGCTCTGAAGTTTGCACTGATTTCTTTCTTAACTTTGCTGGAACACATTTTAAAGTGATAAAAAAAAAAGAAACTTGAATTGTCAGTATGATAACGTCACATGTTGAATGGCCTATTTTTTGGGGGGGCGTGAATGAAATATGTTTGTGTGTCAGTTACAATGAAGGATGTGTTTTTTATATTTTTTATGTAAAGATTCACAATATCAGGTGGGCTTGGACAATGTAATTCGATAACAAGAGGCTCGCTACGTTTAAAAACCTTTTTTTTCTTATTTTACTCATCTCGATACAAAATAGTGTGTTGAAATGTACAATGCGTTGCTAACAAAATAAAATTATTTACAAAGTCCTGGTATAAACGTCTTACAAAAAAGTAGTGTGCTTGAAAACACACTTACAGAATGAGAATTATTGCACAAAGAGGAGTTTAGTGTGTTGCGACAACAAGGTCTGGGTAATAATATAAAGTATTTATCACAAAAATTCAAAGTAGATTTGCTTGCAGAGAACAGCCGCCAGTGCAGAGGTTTCCGCCTGCAAAGTTGCATTTCTCAAAATCGCCTCTTCCCTCGCACTGTCACTTCAAGTAGCTGTTTGCATAAATGTGACTGGCTAATAGCCATTGGTCACATGCAGATTAACTTTAAAGAAGCACAAGCAGTCCACTGGCTGCTGCCTTGATGGTCTTCACACACAGTTAGGCAGATCTCCTTGGGTGAGCAGGACAGGTCCCCTTGGCTCAGCTCCAGTCCAGGAAAAAAAAAAAAAAAAAAAAGGGGAGCTTTCCAGGAGCATTTGCCTCTCTGCACCAGCTGCACAGAGAGCATTTCCTACATGTCCTTCTAAAGCATCCGCTTTGCCCAAGTGTCACATGGAATAGACAATTAAAACCTGTTGTGATGTATATAAAAACCCACCTTGAAAAAGTATTTCTAACCCTTTACATTTTCCAGTCATATTTTGTGACATTCCAACCGTGTACGTCAGTGAATCGTACAATCACTGATCGTAGGTGCTATACGTTCAATATGAGCTCGGATTAATTGCAAAAATCATGCAAAATCTGTGTCTAGATGTGCAAAGCTTCAAATGACTTGAAGCTGATTGAGATGATTCTAGTATTCATTTCAGGGGACTGAATGCTTGTCTATTTGTAAACCATGCATCATTTTCCATCCATTTAAAAAAACAAAACATAACTTCACATGAAACCCTGATAATACACATTCAGGTTTTGGTTGTAATGTCACAAAATGTGAACAGTATCCCAACCCGCTCGCTCCAGGGGTTGGGATACTTTTGTAAGACGCCATAATCCACAAATATAACGGTGTTCTGGCTTGGTTGTGTAACCGCGAGTCAATCCGTCATTTAAACAGAGGGGACTCGTAATGTGGGCCCCCCCTGCAGAGCTGGACGGGCGCCATGCTCTGTTTGTTTCCGAGCCTGTCTCAGTGTTTCCCTCTGGCTCTGCTCACAGCTATGTTTTGGATGTGCTTCCACAGCAGAGAGGGGTCCGACTCGTTGTGTCTTATCAGGGACTCCAGCCCCTCGGCCTGGTCGAGGCTCTGCCAGTAATCCTGCGGCCATATTTGCAACCATCTGCAGACAGATATGCAAACAGATTAGGCTAATTTCAGAGGCCGGCTCAATTAGACAATAAAAACAATTTCTCTCCCCTCGGCTTGACAGAGCAGGCGGTATTCCCACCTGGCACAGTCAGCGATTTAACCCCAACTCACCCGTCATCTGCTGGCAGGTCTTTGATGTCTCCGTACCCCGGACTGGGCAGTGGGCAGCCCATGTGGGAGTTGCTGGCCATTTTACGCTGAGGAGGTTGGGTTTTTTGGGGGGCTTTCCTATATGCCCTCTCGGCAGCCAATCGGGCATTCTCCTGGTCACAAACATAACATTCAAATCCATTTAAGTAGTTAGGCTTGCTCATGTCGTTTACTCCCCACTCACGGGAGTCCAAGCCCGCCAGCAAGCGAGTGTTGGTAATCCTTCTGGGGTCCTTGAACTCTAAATATCTAACGTATTCATCATCGTTCTCATCCAGACGCTTGAGAAAGTCAGCGAGAGCTTTGGGAGAGGGAAAGCTATCTATAATTACGACAGAGTGGTCATTGGGCATCCAATCAGCCACCACCGGGGAGCCGCGATAGACGGGCACGCAGCCCTGATGGAGGGGCCGCCACAGCTTCTCCGTCATGTAATCTGGACACACGCCATTCTCCAGTGCCAGGTGGAACTTGTAGCGGGCGACGAAATTCATGAATCCGGGTTCCTCGCCAGTAGCGGTGGCCGTGTCCTCCAGGTGTTCCGGTAGGGGCCTGTTGTTCAAGCATTTCCCATAGGAGTCCACCTAAAGACGGGAAGGAGAGAAGGATGGAAGCGAGAGATGAGAAGAAGCAGCCAGGACACATTTATCATGGCAAAATAATAGCAAACCTTTCTGAGCTCAGGCTCTATTTATGGAACTTGTGAAAACCCTACAGAAAGGGAAGAAGAGGATGGGTGGATTTTACAGAATAGGCAAAGGAAGAAATAGGAATATTTTCCAAATCGACTCGTTTTTCTTTTTTCTTTTTTTTTCAGCCCTATGTAGAGCTGGGAAACCCTAATCGACTTCCACACTTCTGAACTGCATAGGAACTCTTTCTTTTGACATAAATTACTCATGACACAATACAAATAGGATCATGAGACTGACCTTTGCTAATTGACTTTTAACATTCTACTTCAAACATGTTAGTTAGATTATCTGATTTAACAGAACCTGTCTTTTTTAAAGAGAGTCCTACAAGAGGCAGAGGACATTCGTCACTCTCTAAATCATCCACTTAATGGTAAATTTAAGCTCCTACTGTCTGGGAAGAGATTCAGGAAGCCCAAATCAAGAACCGCCAGAACCACCAAAAACTCTTTTGTTAGCCAGGCCATTGTTCTGATCAGTTTTAAATGTGATTGGGTCAGACCTAGTCATGCAGCCTGTGTTACTGACATTTGTACTGATATTTCAAATATTTGTTTTTCACTACTTTGCTATGTTGTTGTGCGATTGTGTTCGCGTTTGAAATTTTTTTCCCACCTTGCTGCAGAGACAATTTCCCTGGAGGGAAAAATGAAATGGTTCTGATACTGATCATGTGTTTGTTTTTTTTTTGTTTTTTTAAGCCAGCAGACACAGATGAACATATATTTTTCATCGAGTTCCTCACTGCTCACTGCACTTGCAGGAGCCGTGAGGAAAAATCTGCCTGGCAACAACGAGAGTTAATGAGATTTTTGACTCAAAAAGGTTGTGCTGACCTATAAACTGCTTTCAGACAATATAGTACACCTTTCTGTTCCCAGATGGAGCATTAATGGTGCATTAAGGGCTAATGAAACCAAAACTAATTTCCAAAACTAATTTCGGATGCAGTTTAATAACAACTAAACAAAAACCCTTAAGTCTTCTTAATAGAAACGCACGTCAAACATAGAACATTTGCAAATGATTCCTGAGCATCTACATGGCTCATCAATGTGCAATTAATCAATAGCAGACAGTATCTGTATATTTTTGTAATCAATGATGCTGCAACAACGGTGCTATTCTCTCATATGTCTGAATTTACCCCCAAAGATCTCGTTCATAATAATTAAAGCGGAAACGAAAGCTCCTGCCAAGCACTGTACCTCGATGTACTTCATGAGTTCGCGAACGTATCGGTCTCTGTCTGACGGCACGTCACAGTGAGACTGCATATAAAGAACAGGAGCCAAGCCCTCCCTCCTGAGGCGGTTCTTCTCCTCCAGAGACACAGCCACAGGCTCCAGCAGGTACTCCAGGGAGGGCAGCCACTGCAGGGTCAGGGGGTAGTCTGACTCCCTGCGAAATGTGGCCGTGTAATTAAACAGCCGGATTCCGGGTCCGTGCGAGAGGACATAGTTGTTCATCGGTGACTCCTCGTGGAAAAGTGCCCAGGTCTGGTGGCGCAGACGAGGGAGTGGAGCCTCGTATGCCCTGAAGTCCGTCCCGTAAAAGATGATGGATGCCGTCCTCTTGTACAGCTGGACCTTTTCGAGAACGAGAACAGGTCGAGATGAAACAGGGTAACAATAATTAATATAAATGCAGGCATATACACAGTGCCTTGCAGACGTGTTGTACTCTTGAACTTCTGCTAATGTTTAAGATGCTAAAACCCAAATTTCAATGTGTTTTACTGATATTTTACGACTTAGACCAGGGCCGTCAAACTCACTTTCATTTTGGCCGTATCAAGATCGCAAAAGTCCTCAAAGGGCCGGTTATAGCAGAATGTATTGGTAAATTTACTACAATATATAGAATATATGTATAAATAACTTTCTTTGTATTTTAATATCAAGTAATAAAAGCATGTTTCACATTGATGTAATTAAGAGAAATTACTGCTTTGAGAAAACTGCTTTGATTTGATTGATAAAATAGTATTTCAGCACATAGCTGCTATTTATGAATCCCACTATAGCTTGGAGGGCCATGTAAAAACGTATTGTGGGCAGGATTTGAATTGTCACACGTGACCTAGACCAATAGAAAAAAGCTACAATTTTTAAAGTAGAAGAACATTCTGCATAATTTTCCAAAGTCTGTACAAATAGAAGTCCATAAATTGTCCCAAGCATTTTCATTCAGCAGCTACCTCACACTGAAATTACAGCCGCAAATGTTTTGGGATATGTCATTACTGGGTTTATATTTCGGGAGACTACGATCTCAAACTATGTCAGACTGAATGGAGAGAGTCTATGAACATCAATTTTTATGGCTTACTTTAATGATTGGCTATCGTACAGCCATTCCTGTCATTTAATTAAGACAGCCATGTTTTGGCAGGTGTTTTGTGCTGCTGTACTCTTTTCCTCTCCAGGTGAGGGACTGAACACCTTATTGAGATAATGAAAGCTTTGGATATTGTTTTATAACCCATATATGCTTTGAATGTCTCCACAGCTTAATCCCTGACCTGTCTGCTCTTCATGATGCTGCCGTTCTCTAACAAAACCTCTGAGGCATTTACAGAACAGCTGCATTTAGACTGATATTGAATCACACACAAATGGACTGTATTTACGCATAAGGTGACAACATCTAAAAGAGAAATGGTGGGAGTGGATTTAAATTAAACAGATCAGCGTAAAGAGGGGTAAACACATAGGCACGCCACACTTTTCAGATTCTATTAAAAAGGAAAAAGGGAGAGAAACGTCAGTTTTGATCTATTTGTGTTAATCTATCACATACTGCTTATAAAATACTTTGAAGTTTAGTGTTCCAACGTGACAACGAGTGATAAAGTAGGAGGAGTATTAACACTAATGCAAAACACTGTATTTTCCTGCTATTCAAGCCCAGACTTCCAGGAAAAACTTTAGTTGTTGGTCTCTCTTGTATACCTTGCGATTGCTCGTCACCAAGCAGGAGGACGTGGCGCAGTCGATGCGTTCAGTGTCACCGGGGAAATGTGGGAAAAGACCCCCGCTCCACCACAGGAGAATGGGCAGCTCCCTTTTGCTGCGACGGTCACTGTTCCCTGGTCCTCTGTATGAGGCGACGGAGGCAAACTCCATGTCCGACAAAGCGCTCTGTGGCTGAAAGGCTCCTCGGTCCGACACGTCCAGGCGCAGCTGGTCTCCAGAGAGGGAGGCGAAGGAGACCCACACCCAGCAGAGGACAGCGAGCAGCCCCAGACCCACGCAGGGTAGCAGCCTCCTCCTACCTGCCATCTGCGAAACGGGTAAAACAAATAATAAAAATAAAGGTTCCCCTACCTCCATGTTCACTATCATGATGTGTTATGAACTCTGCCAAACAAAGTGAACATCTCTGGGACTAAACCTCCCAGTTATCCAGATATATCGAAGCAATAACGCCATTTTTCACATATATCACTATGAAATACACAAAATGCATACTAAATGTCTAAGAAATAAAATATGTATTTGTATTAAGAGTAAAACTTACCTCTGATGAACGCTTCTAACGGTTTATTCACCAACATCAGTAACAACAGACTCTTCCTCGTCGCAATAAATGTTACCCTCCTCTGGCGCCACCTACAGCCAAGCAAAATCAAAGCAGCAGCAAACGCAGAATCAGTCGAGTTTGTTGAGGGTTTTTTTTTTTTGTTGACAATCTCAACTTGCTATGTCCTTTCATGTCATGGTGAAATTCTGTAAATTAGGCAAATGTGATAATATGATTGAGTTCAGTTATTAACACAACAGTTACATAAAACGTAACAAATACTTTAGTTTTAAACAAACAAGTTACAGATACTATATTGCCCCAAAAATATTTTTAATTAAAAAAAAAAGTAAAACGAAGATAGACAAAGAAAAAAGTGACTTTTAACAGCTTGCTGCTGAGATATGGTATCCCACATACCTTAAATGAAGTGAGAGATTAACTGATATAGATCAACATAAACCCATTTAGCCAATCTACAACTTTTGCCTTGGATTGTTCCTAACCAATGTTTCAATGTATAGCCCATTTCAGACAACTTTATTAAACCACAACAGAACATGCATTTATTCATCTGTTAGATCAAAGTCATGTCAACTTTACTATCTGTCTATATTTACTTCTCAGGTCTTCATTTAAACTTTAGCTAACATATAATTAGTAAAATTATCTGACTTGGTGTCATTAAGTCATGTATGGACATGTCATCAAAGAGCCTTCATTTGTTTTCTTTGGAATCCAGCCTGTCAAGCCTCCTTGTTCTCCTGACATTTTAGCGGGCTTGACTTAGTTTCAGTTGACTGAAAAAAGTGCTGCAGAAAACAGTTTAGACTTTGTAGTCTGCACATGTTTGCACAGGTTTCACTGAAACATTCCTGGTTACTTCGACTGGACAAGCATTTAGCTCAAAGTCAGGTGTCTTCAGTGTTTATCGTTTAAAAGTCTATGCACAATGTTTCAATTACAGCTTTATTCACAAATTCCAATGGTGTGAAGGTTTCTCAGTGCAGTGTCAGGGCCATTTGCATCCAAAAGGCAGAAAGAATATTGGATCCAAGTCAGAATGTCAACACATCGAGGTTAATTCACAGAAAAGACATTTTATTTCATAGACTTGTCTAATATTATATACATTTAATAATATAACTAAATGGTTAATTTTATTTTATATTATATTATATTATATTATATTATATTATATTATATTATATTATATTATATTATATTATATACAAAAATATTGCTTGAGAAAATAAATAAACAAATAAATAAACATTTTTCAGATGCATTTGCGGGCTCTAGGACCCAGGTTCCCACGGCTCTTTAACGCCACTGGGCACGTCACGACACGTCTCGGTCAGATGCAGGGGAACCGGGCAGACTTCGCAGTGTTATTGACCAAAAATAAGGTGAGTGATAAATTGTATGTGTGGTTGGCGCATTCATCTAGGGAAACGAATCACAGAAGGGATACATTTCATTTGTGTTCAGCATTAAGTTTTTTTTCTTTTTTTTCTTTTCTTCCACATAGTTGTAAGTTGGTTACACAGTGAGGCTAACGGTTAGCTTGACCAGCAGCAGAATGTCAACAAGCTGTCAGACTAGCCGCTTAGCTTCTGAATCGCTACTCTTCGTTTCATTGTCAGGAGGCTGAGGAGGATTTTAGTGTCAGCTGCTCGTTTCGGTTCCTTATTAACTTCTGCTTTCTGAACAAGTGAGTTCAGGAAGAGTTTGTTGTTTGTTTGTTTTTTTTATTGTTGCCTTCACTCAAAGTGGACAAGCTTGAACATGTCAAACTTGATGTTTGTTTTGAGGTTGCAAAGCACGCTGTTATCACTCAGATTGTCGCTTCTTTTAATGTGATGCTGCTGTTTATCCCCCCCCCCTCTCTAACAGGGTGTTTTTATGTTCTTGTTCATCTCTCTTATTCATCTATTATTTTTATGCTTAAAAATAATAATGCTTAAAGTAATGAAACATTAGGCTGGAGACATCTCGGTGCCTCACCCCTGTCGCTCTGCTTGTGAAACTGGTTAACCATTACAAATCTGTAATATTGGTTTCATGTCCCAAACAGTTTCATGCAGGTGTGCTTAGTCTCAAACCCAAGGTCTAGAAGCCCTAAAGTTTTCTTTCAGTATTCTGTTTATAGTATTATAGCTATAAAAAAAACTATAAAACTGAATCTGAGTATGAAAAATCAAAAGCAGACCACAAAACCTGATACATTTTATGTATAAAGCGCCGTTTCCAGGATGACAAAAACAAACAAAAAGAAGTCCTTATTACCGTTGAACCCTTCACTGTGTATTTACAAACACAAAAGAGACTTGATATTAAGTATGTTGTGAATGTCAACTGAGAAGACATAAATAAGATTAACTTTAGTCATGAGTGCAAAGGAAATATCGTTTTCTTTTAAACCATTTAAAATGTAATTGCTGCGGCTGTTAGATTTTCATGCAAATTAAAATAACTACGTATTTTTATTTTGTTGCCGTGTGTCATAATAGATTTACTCTGGAGAAAGGTCGTACCCATTTAGTTTACTCACAGGAGAAGGAAATACTTAATGAATCCAATGACAGCACTGGTGCTACTACTTTCCATTCACACGGAAACAGCAGGTGTTTGAGGATCTGAGCACACGAAAGCATGATAACAGTCTCAAGCCGATGTCCGCACAGTTGTAATCTGATCCATGCACTTTAGCTGTGCATGCGTATTTAATGATTTGTGAGGACGGTAAGGTTTTGTAATGCACATTTGCTGCCATCTTAAATTACACGAAATTCATTTATTTGTGATGGGCTTTTTGTGGCTTCTCAATTATTATCCAAGACTAATTTGAATGTATTCCTTAATTGCTTATCGCTTCTTGCTCTTCTTTCTCTGTCTTGGTTACGTTGACGCTGATCTTCCATCCATTGCAGTGGCCTGAAACCCACCAGAGAGGCCTAACCAGGTGGGAGGAAACACGATGAGTAGGAACAACGTGCTTCTGAAAGTGATCCTGCTGGGCGATGGCGGAGTCGGGAAGTCCTCTTTGATGAACCGCTACGTCACAGACCGCTTTGACTCGCAGTCGTTTCACACCATTGGCGTGGAGTTCCTTAACCGAGACTTGGAGGTGGACGGGCGCCCGGTCACCCTTCAGATCTGGGACACGGCGGGTCAGGAGCGCTTCAAGTCGCTTCGCACCCCGTTCTACCGGGGCGCAGACTGCTGCCTGCTCACGTTCGCTGTCAACGACTTGCAGAGCTTCCTAAATCTCAGCTGCTGGAAGAAGGAGTTCATGTTCTACTCTGACGTTAAAGAGCCGGAGAGCTTCCCTTTTGTGGTGCTGGGCAACAAGGTCGACATGGAGCGGAGGGAGGTCGGGGAGGACGAAGCACGGGCCTGGTGCGAGGAGAACGGCTGCTGCCCTTACTTTGAGACCAGCGCTAAAGACGACACCAACGTCACGGCTGCGTTCGAAGCAGCTGTCCGGGTGGTTCTAGCTGCTGAGGACCAGATCGGTCACGCACTACTCGGCAGCACGATTGATCTTCACGGCAACCGTAAAACCTCTCGCGGCTCATGCTGCTGATGGTTCATGGGGTACTAAGCTGTTTCTCGCTGAAACTTGCCTGTTTGTTCTGACAACAGGTGTACTGTAGGCTTAAGGTACAGCATCCAGTAAGGACACTATGCAGGAGATGCAGCTTGTGTGAGGAAGCTGGTGTCGGGGATTTCAGCTGCCGTCTTGTGAGCTGAATTGTTGCTCTTATGAAGGTACAGGCATTCTGCGACAGGCGCGCTCGTCTTTTCTGCTTTCAGTGCTATCTCACAAGATATTGCATCCTTCTCTGTTTATATGCGAGGGTGGTATCAAATAATGGAATGAAGCATTGTCTTTTATCTCGTATACTGGAAGACAAAGTGTGCCATTTTTCTCATAAATACGCAGAAATACTATGCTTTCTGATCTCAAAGTGATTAGGCGTGGGTTATTGGTATGAAGATAAAAATGAAAGTAATGATTTCAATAACCATGAAAATCCCTCCATCGCAACACTCGTATGGTTTAAAATTATTTTTAAAGAGATACAAAAGAAAGTCCTGGAGTTTTCTCTGCCTGCGTTGGGCATACAGTAAAGCAGAGTTGCCCCTCCTCCACTTGTTTTTGTTTTTTTTTTCCTCCTACTCACTGAAAGTAGACCAATTTAGTAGTTTGAAAATATTTCTAGCTGACCTTCACCTTTATTAAAGTGGTGCTGTTTTAAAATGACTGTTTTAAGAATTATCTGATAAGACGTGTAACGAGCCATTACATCATAGTATTCATTTTAACTTGCATAAGCAAACTATGAAAATCTCAAACTACCTAGAGTCCCTTGACTATCTGAGCTGCTTGTATTGATTAGGTTTGGGCCAGTATGAAGGTATATCAAGTTTTTAAAAAAGTGATATCTTTAAAACAAATATCTTTGGTCATACCGTTTCTAAGGTCTAAAGTTATTATACTATGATAAAGTGACGATGTAGCTAAAATTTTCTTTGGCTGCCCCGCCTCCATTGTATATAAATGCGCACTGCTGGTCAGCTTGCTGAAAGAAATTGGGTTTTATTTTTTCATACTCAAAGAAAAGCCCAATCCGGCCTAAAAAGACGGTCAAGGTGTCAAAAAAAAAAAAAAAAAAACGGCATCCTTCGCCCTTGCTTGGGTGTTTTAATGCTGCATTTGGAAGCTAGAAGCTTACTAGTGAACTGTTGTGACTAAAATATGCAACACATAATCAAATCTTTGCGTGAACAGAGGTAAGCTGTTGTTTCTACTGGAGACTACAGAAAAAAATTCATATCAGTCCATACCTAATGGTGATATACTAAAAAGTATTAACTATGGTACTATACTGTGGAGTTACAAGCAAAAGTACACACAGACCATTTGAGTACTACAGTTTACACAAATGCTGACTGAGCTTCAATTTGTGGTACGATAAACTACAAACGTTGGCACTCTAAAAAAGAAAGGCTACAAGGTGCATTCAGTAGAAAGGGAATGTTGATCATCAGGTTTACGGTTTTGCCCGTGAGCATCAGTTACGTGGTAGTCTTTTGTTTGCCTCTGCACTACGTTGAGGCTGGGTGTAATTGAGAATTTAATGTCTCAGCTGCGACAGTTTACCAGGCAACGAATGCCTGTTGAGCAAAAATAATTAAAAAATCGTTCTGCCTCTGGCGTTTTTTTATTTCTGTCCAATAGTCGCAATGGGCTTCAGTGTTTGATCAGGGACAGTCGAAGAAACTTTTCCTTGCTAGGTTGAATGGCTCTAATTATAAACGGCCTCCCTGTAATCCTGCGTCGGCCTCAACATTCCAGTCTTCTAACTTTGCCTCACCTGAGGGTCTCCTGAGCATCACTGATAAATGATGAACATCTCATTACTTCCTGTGTGTATATTCTACATCACCTCTTCATTCTTACGGCATTTGGCAAAAACATACTAAGCACTTGGGAAAGTTGTTTACATCCGTCATTGTATTCACATACCTGACACTGGCCACAGGTACATTTCACTTTGTTTTTATTGGTGGTGGCCAGAAGGCTCTGTTTTTTGGGGGTTTTTTTTTTCCATGTATGGTATTGGATAATGTTACAGCTAATACTAATTTAAACTGAACTGTCATTATGTATGTGTAGTACTTAATTTTTTTATTTTTTTTTCCAGATAAAATATATTATCTTTTTAACTAAAAGGTCCTATATTCTCGCATCTTTTTGTTGCATTTTGTTTGTCACAGCCTGAGATGCATCGTTTACCTACCAATATCAAAAGTTTAAACATTTGTCTTTTTGAACTAATGGTAATTGCAAGAATTCACTGTGAAAGTGAACTGAGTAAGGTACTGTTACATTAATCAAACTATAAGCTGACAATGAGGAGTTTGTTTGTGTTGGGTCATCTCACCTCTTTGCTACTTTTTACTGCTGTAATTTTTCAGTTTTTAATACATTGATGTTCCTGATATGAAAAAGGGAAGTCTGCCACATGACCTAAAACCTCTGCCTCCGTTCATATCCGTCCTCTAGATGTCCCATACTTACATTGCCAGCCTTTGACTTATGCTGTAAGGAAATGTGGTTTTGAGACTAAAATCTACCCACAACTTCTTGTTCACTCATTTTATTTTGATCGGATATCTCTTGTGTTTCGTAAATTACGCAACAGGATTACAAAATGAGGTTAGAACTACAATCAGCGTAAATGGTTCATATTAAATATGGAGAATTTAAACATTTTTTGCAATTACCTCCGTCTCCTAAAAATGGATCACTACCTATAGAAATGAAATGGGACAACATGGGTAAGTTTTAAAAAGGCAACTCTTTGGTGCAAATTAGCAAAGGGGTAAGATGACCCAGTGTTGCATTGTTTTACAGAAACTGTGAGCTGAAGATGTAATTTAAAGACTACACCAACTCTTAAAACGAGGGCTGATAGCTGTCGGTTATTCTTGTGATTTAACTTCTATTTTCTTACACTGCTGCTTGAGTTTTATCTAGTTTTCATAGTGAAGTCTGTCATGTCTTTTTTTAACCTGAAATCAACATTGTTAGTAAAATCAGTGTTGGCCAAGAGCACATTTCCTATGTTCTGATCATTTTTCCCATGTTTCTGTAATATTTATGAACGTAATCTTTCCATGTTTTTTAATTTTAAATTTTTTAAATGTAAAAGAATATCGTTTTACTTTGTGTGCTCAACTGATGAGTGCAGCTTGATCTGTGCAGAACAATAGTTTCATTTTGATTATGTGCTGATCTGCGATAGCTGCCCTTCCTCTACTTTGCACTAGTAATAGTAACGCTGAAGAATTCATCTCCAGTGCTTGGCTTCAAATAAAGTGTGCGTCATACCAGATGGTGATTCTGTTTGCATTTTTACACCTGGAAGACTACTTGTTTCCTTCTTGCCATCTGCAGTCGCATAAAAATCCCACACATTGTTATTGCTGCATAGGTTGTCTCTAAATATGTTATAGCATCAGGGTGACATTTTACCTGCCCTCTCTCTTATTTGACTTTCATGGCATCGTCCAGTGTGTCCTAAACAACCAAAAGCAAGTGTTGTCCTTTGAAACCGCCAACTGTGATCCTCTTCATTAAAATGGAAATCAAACATGCATTGCATTTTTATTTTCCCCCTTCAGTAAAAGGACATTAAGCATGCACTGCACACCGAAATCAGATCTGGGCACAGACAAATCCAATCAGCTTTTCAAAAATTTGATAATGGAAATCAACTAGAACCACTAAATACAAAGATTATGCCCAGATTAACAAAAAACAATAACACCTAACATATGTATTCCAATTTACAACTTAAGATTGAATGAATAGTGTCTCATATCCTAGAGAAAACAAAGCAATTCAATCTACGTAACAACCGCTATTAAACTGAAACGATATACAATGCAGACCTATCCGATTAATTGCGACGGCTGTAAGGAGCAGAACTTCAGCGCCGTCAGGAGATGTCAAATGTGTCGGCAGAGTACGGAGAGGACGGCGTCCCCCCTCTGTCCCTCTGCATCCTTCTATAAAGGTCATAGCCTCTTCGCTCCTCTTTGGCCCTGTGCTTCAGCGTCTTCACATGCACTTGGTACACAGCCAAGTGGAGGCAACAGTGCACCTGTGGACACAACGAGGAAGTACAAAACATTTGTACAAAACACCCTGACCCCTGATTCTGGCCAGGAGCCAGGGATGGCGAACGAGTAAAACAGGCACAGAGACTTCACAGGCTCAAAATGAAAGTTATTAAAGGCAGTGTGCTCAATCGTTCCATTTATTTTCAAACAGTACATTACCAACACGCACAAAAGGAAAGAAAAATGTATATCTACTAGGCAGCTTTATATCCTACAAATAAAACTCAGCTAAGGAAGGTTTCATCAATAAAAATAACCAGTAGAAAGATTTTTTTTTTTTTTTTTTTTTTTTTTTTTTTGGGGGGGGAAAAATTTACAAAAAAACCCCCCTATAAATCCCTTTCCTCCCGGG